GTTTATAAATATTTACTCTTAAGTTATAAATATAGATACCGAACCTGATATCGGAACAAACTGTTAATAAGTTAATAAATTCCAAACATTTGTAAACTTGTCGCTTTAGACTTGGTCGATACGTGTTACTTTCAGTTAATGAAATTTGAGGTACGGGGCACCGTAAGAAACGTATTCCAGGATCTAAAGCGAGTTGAAATTCATTTTATGTCGCAGTCACAGGATCACCTCCGAGAAAAGAACACTTTGCAAACGGAAAAGCCCATTTACATATAAAACGTGGTTCGGAATAGGTATATCTAGCTATATACTATGCGCGTACTACTTTCATTATCGTTTAAAATAGAAGATGTGCATTTGTTTTATAATGTGGCGTTGATCAATGTTGAGTAAATTAATATGATTATTTTGTACTGCACGAGTATTTGCAAAGCGATGACAGTACAGAAATAGTAACACATTAAAACATGAAAGTTCAAATAAAATACGAGAGCTGCCTGAAACTTGGGAGAATAAAAATGAAAAAAGACGTAAAAAGCAAGTGCGGATGTCATGGCAGACGGGTGGAGTCGCGGGCGCCGGATATGACGCAGATATTAAGTAGAGGTAGATATAAAGATGCCGTGAGCATTAAGCATCTATATAAAAGAAAGTGCGGCACTAAAAACCTTCTAAAATAAAGAGCATTATGTTCATAAGAAAGCCTGTAGATATCAGAACAAAACGGAAATAACGCAGAAATAGGATTCGCATGGAAAGGGGAGGGAGATGATCCCGATACCCAAATAACACCCTCTTCACACTGTCACATCAAAGTCGATGTTCGGAGGCACTAATTTGAACTCCGTATTATTGCCTTGGAATTTAAAGTCTTTTCTAAACTGATTTGCATATTGAATAAACTTTAGACTTCATAGAGATGACCTCAAATATAAAATGTTAATGTAAGTTCATTGTTATCAAATATAATTAAATAAATGTTTGATTTTCATTTTGCAAATTACTAGCACCAATTTCATTCGACGCGTTGTCCGTAAAAGAAACTTGTAAAATTATTTTAAAATTCTTTTCATCTGTAATAAAGTTTGCGTAATTTTTTTTTTCACAGTTGCAGTATCTAATTAGATAAAAAGATGTGATAGACAGCATTTTTAATATTACTACTTTGGCAGTATATAAGTATCTGGAAGTAACAAAAGCTTTGTCAATGCTTCTTGTGCCAAGGTTTTACGTAAATTTTATTTATTTCGTGAAATGTTATTTACTTGTAATGTGACCTTAAAAAAAAGCACACAAAACGTTGAATTTTAAAACAATTCATTGAATGTTATTGCGTCGTACTTCGACTTAATTTTTAATTGAATTATATTTCCTCATTTGAAAAGGAAAATTTTCATTGCTGTGAAAACAGAACATGCAATATTTGTTTTAAAAACATTTCATTTAGAAATTGTAAACCTCGTTTTTTGTAGAGACATTTCTAGGTATTTTTATAAGCCTCATTTGCATTAAATTACATTATTTAAATCATGTTTCTATATAGAAACAATGTTCTTAAATATGATATTGTTTTGTTTAAAAATAAGCATCGTAC